ACTGTCTCAACCTACCCCTAGCCTTCTTTTTGGAGGCATTTTGTTTCTCGTTGTCGACTTTTTAACCATTCCATCATGAATGTTCCCGGAGTTATCATCGTGTGTAAACGGTTAGGAATCCGAATATCCTGTCGGTGTAAACGCCTACTAATCCGAATACTCTAAAATTGATGAATCCAGAAACTTTTACGAATCCGGAAATATCTCCTCTAGTGTAGACCTAGTCTGAATTACATACCTCCACTGATTGTTGTTTAGCTTGTCGATTGCATGTGGTCAAATAAAAAACGCAATGTTGTAATTGCAATAAAACGCAACTTCCTGCTAATCGCAAAAATTAATACCCAGTAAGAAAAAACAATCTTTCACAATCGAAAAAATTTGGTTTCCACAAAATACAAACAATCACCCATCCGCAAAATAACACTCCCGCAAAAATTTCATACCGCATGGTTTACCTTGAATTTAAGTTTGATCTTTTACCTTGATTCTTTTAACAAGCGAATATTATTTTGCAGTGGATCAGGATATGCATTTCGCGTTGAAGTTATCTCGACTTAATTAATCTGCAAATATTACTGAAAGAAAACAAACCATAACAACATTTCACCGTGTGAAAGAGCCTACATTTGTTTATTAAGCAAAGGCATATGGGTTCTTATTTTCTCAAGAGAACTTATACATCACGCTTCCACATGACTTTATAAAACAAAGCAGAATATACAACCACTGAAAATCATAGAACCAGCTAATGCTGTTCCATATATATATAGACTCAAGCTTAAATTCTAGTCTTCTCAAAACATCTCCAATTTTTATATGTCTGGTTCCGGTTCTGTTTCTGGATTCCGGATTCCATGTTTTCCATCTGCCCTGGAGCCACAAGGGTCTGCAAGGTCTTCCCCAAGGCACAGTGCTAACATGTATCACACAACATCCTGGATTTCATTCCATTTGCCTCCAGAAGTGGAGTTTTAGACTGGCAGCGGAGAAGATGAAGTTACGTGCGTGATGTGCAAAATGTTCACCAACAGACTCTGCTTGTCTTTTACTCTATTTTGAAAGTAGAAAGATAAGTGGAACTTAACTGGTTTTCTGAATTAATAAAATGCCCGACGTTTGTATGAGCGGTGTGGTAAAATAAGGAGCATGGGAACAACCGAACACCTGAGAACAACCCGGACCTATTTTTTATGCTCCACTTGGATAAATAATATTGACATTGAATGTTATCTTCATTGCACAGTAAGATTTTCGAAATCCCCCTTCTTTTGTGAATCATTAAAATTCCGCTTTAGATTCAAGTTGTCTTGCTTTTGTTGTCTTGCTTTTGTCTT